CAAATATTAGCTAAATCATAAATATTTAAGGCATCTAGTTGAATTAAAAAAAAATTGACGAACACTTTGTTCTCTAAGAAACATTGAAATTTTATCGTGATAATTAAATATGCAAATGATTTCGGATTGAAATAAATTTTTGCACGGATAATCGATGAATCGAGACTTATAAAATAAACGGTTCGGATAGTTGAAGTTAATAGGTCTCACAACTAATAACCACTTTAAAAAAAAAGATATCCCTTCCCTTAAAAGGCCGTATATTTGTGTGTGTGTGTGTGTGTGTGTGTGTGTAATGGAGCAGTTGAGGGTGAATGCTAAAGTTTTGTTTTCTTAGGTTAGGCTTTGTCTTCACTCTTATGTATATGCCATTTGGGTTGAGCATGCTGCATAACAATACCCAGAACGTAGTTCGATTTGTGTAATTACAAGCGTTAAGGACAAAATCAAGACGGTTGGGATTTGGATAAATACTAAACTTGTATTTAGGTGAGGGCCTTAATTAAACCATGGGGCATGACAATATTGAATATATTTAAAACCTAAGAAAAGTCTTAACCCTATTAACTTTGGCCCCCCACGTCGCATCACTGGTGATCGGTCACATGGGAAGTTTCCTAACGACCATATACATTATACACAGTGGATGTGATATATATGGTAGGTAGTAGTTACTAGTTTAGATGAAAGAATTGTAGGGTGTGTTTGTAACACCAATTAATTCGGAGATGAGTTTAATTATATTGTATATATATGTTATAACATAAATGAAATAATAATATTAATGATGTGTTAGTGTTCTACAATCACATCGAAAAACTTTGTTATCTACGTTAATGTGCTATTCGGAAATAATAATTAATTTTTTGCTCGTATATGAATTTTTTTTAATGTGTTTGTAATATGAGGCAGTACGACACATGTTATTATACAATTAGATGAGAATTTTTTTCCAAGTGTCCCTCTGATTATATCATAACATATGACTATACCTAGCAAATGGGCCATCTTTGTTGTGTTCGTGTCATATCTGTTATCCTAATTGATCGTGCCATTAAGATAACGAATTCTTAATAGGTGACTCAATAACGAATCGAATTGTTAATGGGTCGTGTCGGGTTAACTGGGTTATGCAATAAATTGTCATATCGAATATCTAGATTTGACAAACAATATTTTATCGTTTTCTTAGAGGGTAACGGGTGACCTGATAACGACCTCATTTGTTAATGATTTCTTAATGGGTGACTCAATAACGATCCGAATCATTAGCAGGTTGAACAGAAACCTATTATTTTTGTGTTATTTCATGTTGAGTTAACGAGTCATATAAAAAATTATCAAGCGTGCTTATGCTTTGTTCTGAACACACTAAAAAATTTATCCTCATATACATATAATATGGGCATCACATGTACATAGACTGCCAACTCATGTGCAGTAGTTTAATCGGTATAGTTTTTTATGTTTTTATAACATATTATTAGAATGCAAGAAGAGACCACAAAGCGAGCGCAATTATTATTATTTCATAAATATATTAACATTGCTACTTATAAAATAAAATGCATCAAGATCCACGATATAATTAAGTTATTAACCTCATCCATCTTTCACTACCTCTCTTTTATATACTATTATCTTTTTTTTAATTTTTATCGATTCATTCAAACTTTTCCTCTGCACTTCGAATTCAAACTTTATATTTAAGTGAAGGCTAAAAAAAGCAAGGTTCATGTCACAGGTACATTTTAACTACTCGAAGAAAGATAAGAAAAAGGTTTTAGATTTCTTAAAAGGAATAATGTTCCAAGCCGATTATTTCACGGGTACAGTGCAATAACAATGATCTCAACTTGTTTTTTAATGGTCTAATCTTTTTTTCGTTTCTTCAAAAGCAGTGAACTTTGGGTGTTGTCTGATTTTTTTTAATGTTCATTTTAGGTATTCAGAGTCAACTCGTTCATCATCAATGTCAATGTATAACTTAAAGCGTCATGTCCCATTACCTGTAATTGTTCACCCTGAGTTCAATAATTTATTGATTGTCTATATAAAAGAGAGGAGGTTGCAAAAAAGGCGGTGCAAAAGTCATTTCCCCTTCTCTTAGCGCCCACGCGGTAAAGTAACTTATGTTGCAAATGTGGTGCTTTAAATGTACGTTGATTGCACTAGAGATAATTCAAGCCACTTTAAATCTAGGATTGACACCTTATGGCATTTGAGATTCCCTTCTATGCCTCTAATTATCTAGGGGTATCTATTACAACTATATTTCTCTAACTTCTTGTTAACCTTTTGTTGTATAATTTATTTGCTCCGTTGATCTTCTTCTTCATGAAAACTCTCGAAAAAACTAAAAGGGGAAAAGAAAGTAAAAATCTTTTTGTAAAAATTAACTGCGCATAATCCTAATGATCGAATTATGCCACATTTACTTGGTAGTGTTCGTATTTGGGCATCTCTGGATAAAGTGTACTGGGCTTGATCGCAGCTTTACGAGTTTACATGGGAATGGAGTTTTGCTCGAATTTCACTCTATGTGGTCTTTTTTTGTACTTACAATGATGTTATGTTTTGTTGGTCTGTCCCTTCATTTTGTGGTTCTCATTTAATAAAAAAATTTGTCTCTTTTTTTTTTGTTAAGTTTCAATTTGGTTTATTGTTATACCTGGGTCAATGAAGTTGGTGGAATGTTGCCTTCATTTCACCAAATTACCGTTACTGCCAAATGAACATAGAAAAATGAAACTACAAAGACGAAACTTCAAACAAAAAAATAGAAGAAAATGAAAACAATGGAGATGGATAATTTAGGTCTAAATTGTCCATTCGCTCATGTTTGTACCGTAATTTCTCAATAGAGTCTCTGGAGTAGTTGAAAAAATGATAAAGTAGGGGGTCCCTGAGTGCAAACACCAAAAGGAAGCAAGTCTAAAAGAACTGCGTTGCAAGTAGGAATAATGCGCATTCAAACACGCAACAAACAGAGCCCAAACAAACGCTTCAAAAGCTTATCGTGCTTTTTCCGTATTTAATTGACTCATCGGCTTCTCCCAAATTGTTTAATTTCTACAGCTGGTTTTTGAAAAAGGGTAATTTCATACTGTGACTCAAACAAGAATCAACTACAAATCGACAAGTATATTTCCTATGTGCTTTCATGTTGTGTTCCACAAGTTCATGTTCCTAACTTATTAATTTTAAAGGTCAAACACTTAACGCATTCAACTTTCACCAAAAAGAAAAAAAACTTTTATCACCACGTAAATGCCCCTGTTCTTTAAATTCTTGGATATAATGGGATCAATGATCAGTTAAAAGACATTGTTATCTATCCAAGTTATATGATACACCATTTGTTATTATCTTTTTAAAGAATACTACTGATTCACGATCTTTGGTTTTTGATAATAATAAAATGACATGTATTGCGTGATTCCTAAAGTCGTTGAGTAAAGATTTAGGATTTTGATTCGCGAGACTCAAATATTGTTTAGAAGGGTTAATCACGATTGGTCCATGAAATTGGACCTTCCAATCAAAATGCTCTCTAAAATAAAAAATTCATTAATTTAGTTCCTAAAAATCTTATCCAATATCTTTTTGAATTTTTTATTATTTATTCTGAATAATTAACAGAAACTGATCGGTTGGAAAATAACAATTTAACACCATGCCTGAAACCTGAGTTCAAGGTCGAGGTACGTTTATTTCAAAGCGCAAGATTGACTCAAGGACTATCGAGGTTAATCATTTTCTATAATTAAAGCCTTCCATCAAAAGTCTCTGCCATAAAAAATTCACCTTGATTAATTATCTTTTTGTGCATTATTGTTCTTCATTATCAAGTCAAAGGACGAACATCCTTCAATTTTCAAAGGTGGGCCCGGTTGCTTTGGTCGGCCAGCCATCCTCATTGAACGGAGCCAGAATTCTGAATGAGGAGGGGTCTTTCACAAATATATATATATATATATATATAAATGTGTGTAAAAAGTTAAATTCATAACATGTTGACATATGTAATTTGTGTAATCCTCACAAAACTGAAAAAATTCTCTTAAATTCAATACTAAGAAGAAAAAAATGTAAAAACCCTGACAACCAAGTAAGATGTAGATTGTGGAAGGCTAAAGAAAATACAAAGAAGTAGAAAAAGAAGGAAAAGGGGGAGAGGTCTGCAAATAAAGAAGGTGGGTTGCTTTAGAAAATTATATGGTGTATATTACCGTTAGGTGAGATAATCGAACCAGAAGTGGGGTTGCTTTTTCCATTTAAAATTGTACACCTCTTTTAAAACTCCTATGTCAAACTTATCGTTTCATTAGACAGCCAAAAAGATTTAAAATCAAAACAGCTTAATGACGTCGTTTGCTTCATCTTCTTCCATGAGGTTCACACCTCAGATGAAGTCAGGATGTGCCGGGGACTACCCTAGTCCCTTGGTGGCTCCGCCCCTGCAGCCGCCCAATTTCTCTCTCTCGCTCGCTCTCTCTCTCTCGGACTCTGCCATTGTTCTTTGACCACAAATGACCCAACTAATGTCTGGATTAAGCTACTAATCAAACTAGTACAGTCACGAGGATACCTACAACCCAATAGTTGACAAAGAAACCAAAGGGGGGCACTGACCCTCTCCACCAATAAGATTATAAGTAATTAAACAAATAAATTCACAAAAATGATAAAAAAATGGTCAAGTGCTCCAACCACTAAGGCCAAAATGATAGTTCCGACCCCAAATTAGTGAGCATTATCGTCACTTGAGAGTGGTGAGCAAAATACACCCTTAACTTATTTAATTCAACGGTTATAATGAAAGAGAAACGTGCGTTAGAAAAAAAGGAATACCAGAATCTTGTGTAAACACGTCTCAAATTGATTTAATTCGGAGGAAGTTACTAAATATCTTAACTTCCCTTTTCACACTATTCATGAACAAATCTTGTCGCTTTTCGTTTCTTTCTTCCCAATATTTAAAGCAATCAAAACGTTCATAACTCCCCAATAAACAAAAAAAAAAAAAAAAAAAAACAGATACACAAGGCCGAAGGTGTGATTTCTTAACGCCATAAGAAAACGAGAGCGTTTGTTGTGCTGAGTCTTTTTATGGAGAACAAGAACATCACCACCAAGACGACGGGCGAAAACAACGACGACAACGGGAGCATGGACGAAGAGGGGACCTACAGCTACATGGCTGTCCCAATTCACAGCCAAGTGATGAAGATCAAGCAGGAGTTTGAGAAGATCAAGCACCCGTCTCTGCAGCAGCCTGCAGAGGCGAGGCTGAGACGCGTGATTATGCGGGAGATTACCCGGCAGCGCTCGCGTTCGCCGCTGGGGCTGGCCACATAGGGATAACCTCGTAGGGGTTGCCCTGCCTGCGTCTGCATGGTGATGGTGGCGACGCTTTATAGTTAAACTTTTTCGTGGTTTTTTCCTTCTTACTGTTTGTTTTCTGGTTTTCCTTCTTACGGTATTCTGGGGTTTTGCAGTTTTACTTTTACTACGTTAGTTGTACAGGTAGAAGTTTTGTTGTGGGAAATTTAAGGAATAGTGAAATTAATGTTAATTTCCTGCTTGTCTGGTCTCATCGTTTCTTTGTTTAATTTCATGATTATATACTTTTTAAAAATTTATTTCTGTAAGTTTTGCAGTTTCGGAGGACGATCCGACATCATATGCTTCGTTTTACCAGTAGAATTTTGCGAATTAATCTGTGTTTTGTTTTTCTCATCTTATCATCTGAGAATATTCTTCGTCGATGCGTAAAAAGTTCAAAACATCCTTTTTCTGTGATTAGAAAGAGTCATTTCCTTCAATTTGCTGACATTTTCCAGCATAATTCAACTGGTAAGCTCATGGCCGGTACAAAAACCGCCCCGTCATGTCTCGTTCGACCATTCCAATAAAGAACGAAAAACCAGCTAAGTAGAGTTGCATTGATTCATTCAGTCAGCGGGGTTAAAACTAGACAAACCAATATTTTCAAGCATTCTATAAAGGTCCCTTAACGAAAAACTCTTAGTACTGTTCACTTTAACGAAAAACCACATTTTTACTAAAGAGAAGAAAGATATTGTGAACAAAGTAGCTAAAAAGAACGGAGGCAACAAACATGACTAAGAGTAAGAGTGTTTGTGGGCAAACATGCCAACTTTACTGCAGTAATTCAGCCTTGAGCAGTGGCAGTTTCTTTCGATGCAAGTAACTTCACCCTCCTTGTGAGATTTCTCATCACGTCTATGATCGCCGATTTTTTCTGAATTCTGAACTGGATAGCCAGCTCAGTAGAATCTGAAACACCTTTACTCAACAGGGATTCATCTTCCATGATTTTGGTTGGGAAATGTCCCAGTGCAATCACACATAACGCAATAACGGTGCGAAAAACAGCTAATTCATTTGCAATACCAAGGGGAGCTTCGGCTGACATAGATTTAAGTTTATTTAAATCTTGCTTCTGAACTGTTTCTATGTCATCAGCAAGAACAACTCTTAAGGCTGCCAACAAGCGCCCCTCAACCAGTTCCGAGCCCCCTAAGCATACCTATTAAGCAAGAGATGAGAAGAAACGGTTAAATATTACAAATTTGTGTACGAGAAGGTCTAAAAAAAGTCTTTTCATGATTGTAGTATAACTACCATGATCAATCCGATGACGGTAATTATATATTTTTCAGGGAAGCAGGTACCTTAAGAAGCGGAGCTTCCCCATCTAACTTTAGCTGGCATAAAATTTCTTTCTGCCATGGAGATGGTGCATTGAAGTTGGGCGACGATACTCCGGCAGCCATACTTGCAGCATCCAGAAGTGCTCCATCATATTTGAGCTCAATAGAGTCATAGGGGTTTGAAGGTATCACAAATCCATAATCCAAAAGGAAAAGATCATTGTTTAAACATCCATAGTTGAGTGCTAAACCATCGTTCTCCTTGATCTCTGTTTCTGCTACAACCTGGATTGAGAGGAGAATCTCGATGAGTAAATCTTCAACTGCAATTCCAATGGAGAATTCGGGAATGACATTAAAGAAACAACAATAAAATAAAACCTTTACTAGCATCTTCATGTTCCTGTTATCTTGGTCCTGAACTATTGCGGCATTTGGGTTGAAACTATGGTTGCACATATCAATGAGAGGAAGCATCATCGGGATATCATAGTTCCCACCTCGAAGCTTTTTACCATATAAACGGAATGCCCGAGACGAAACTGCTGACATTGCCCATCCAAGGGAGGATGCATCTACAGATTGGCCACCAAAAGGGTGATCGTTTGGTTTCAGATTTTCCAGAGCATGTTTGACTTCTTTTTCAAAATCAAGAAGAAATCTGCATCTCTTGTTCACCTGCAGTAGGAAATTACTAAACCTTCAAAGCTTGTTGTGGAAACCGAGTGGTCATCAAGATCAAGATAAGAATCTCAACACAAGCTATCTGACTCATGTTGTTGAACATGGACATGCCTCTAATGTCAGATATTGTATGAATCCCAAATCATAGGATTAAAAAGACAGCTTGAAGTGCAATTCTCTTCTTCAATGACCACAAGTAAACAAAATCTATGTGGAACAAAGCAGAGCCAACAGCAAAAAAGACAGCAACTCAGAGACTAAACTATGGTAAATTAGAGGACATGTCCATCTCTTGCTTTGTTGGATAAAGGTTTAGGGATCTCACAGAAAGTTCGCAGGCAAATTAAACACATACCGTCTCAATGCATGCCTAACAATCCTCCCAATTGTTGAACACAATTCATAAAAAGGTCCGGGGCAATATCAAACCATAAACATAAACCTACATTTTCTTTAAGATATCACAATAGCTTACCAGCCTATTTTTAGTTGCAGGTCTTATATTGCTTAGTATACAAGTAAATATTGGTATTTAGGTGGTCAAATAAGATACCTGGTAAAGAAGTGGAGCATACTGCAAATTCTTTATGTCCTCGCCAGGGAAGAAGATGGGTATATTGAACGTTTCAGGAAGGCTGCTGATGTATGGCCACCAGAAGGATCCAGTTTTAGCTCTTTCTTGCAGAAGCTTCAAACCCAATTTCATTGCCCATAGTTCCTCTGCCAAATGCTTCCACAGTGTTCGATTTACTCATATTCAAAACTCACTACAGCCTAGTGTAAAAAACTTTTAAGTTACCAACCTAAACAGAATAAAGAAAACCTAAATGCTATAGAAAAGTAGCAGGGTTTTACGTAAGCAAACATCTGGTTCAAAATATTCATACACGGAAATATACCCGAATAAGAACTCACCTACATCTGAGGAGGCATTTTGATATGGCAATCTACCGCTAATTACTCACACACAGAATTAACAATTTTAACATTTTTGATAAGGCGATATTCCTAACTACGGGGATAGAGATTCAAACTTGGGTGCAAGGAGACGTAGCACACTGCCATGACCAACTCATCTAACCCGCATTTGCGATTTATCATCGTAACTTTAGATAAACACAGGATGCCACTAAGCATTCAAAATCCCGTAGAAATGATACTTCAATTCCGCGCCAGTTTAGTACATATGTACGTCAAAGTTCAAACCTTTACCACTCTTTTGAACCAAATGAATCAAAATATAGCAAAATGCGAAAAACCCATTAAACAAAAAGCATATTACACCAAAATATTAATATATTATCGCAAAACCAATCAAATGGGAAAGCTAAAAATGCTTACCAGGAACTAGGCGAGCCAAATCGTCGAGAACAGAGTCGACCCCATCTCCGCCGTCCGATTCAATTGAGCCAAATCTCAACGGTACGTGCTCCGGAAGAACAATTAGTTCGGAACCCTTTGGGATTTCCTCAGAAGCCACCAATCCAAGACCAAATGAACTATCTTGAGCTATCTTCACGGCCTCGTGCACGAACCCTCCTTCCCGACGGACCCACTTGATCAGGTCCGGCGGGTGTGGAGCCAGGCGCGCAGGATAGGAGGCAGAGGCAGCGCAAGTTAGAGGGCGGAAGGCGGTAAAGGAAGCCATTAACATCTTGGAAGCTGCCATGGTCGAGCCACACTTCATTCCTTCTTCCTAGTGCGGGTGAGGATCTTTGAGAGTTTTCGATGTTTTGGTCATGGATTAATTTCCTCGAAAAGTTATGGCCAAGTTAACTAGGGGAACAGCGAGTGACGGAAAGTCGAGCGATAAGTTCGGCAGATGTGTACCGAATTTGAAAAAAATTCGGCAGGTGCCTACCGAATAAAAACTGAAACATTGGGCATTACCATGCCAAACAATTTTCATTACATATTTCTATGCTTAAATTATTGGACTCAGATGTTACATTATTGTCAAATCCATTCTATTTTGAATACGTTATGTGTCAACTTCATGTGTGTGACCATTGTTTGAGAGAAAAGATTTTTTAATGTGCCCGAATGTAGAGTGGTATACCACATGTAATTATATAAGTGGATGGAAGTTTTTTTTCATTTTTTTTTTCAAGTATTCCTCTACTTGTATAATGACGTATAACGTATGTGCATGTGTACTAGGCTCATTGAAAATCTTCCCCTATTTTCTTCGTTGATTGAAGTACGAACAATGCTAAAGAGTGTATGTGTATGTGCATGTGTACTAGGCTCATTGAAAATCTCATTTACTTTATCACAATGCTAGTTCTTCTTACTTTTATTAGAATCAACTTATAAGACTCATACATTACACTCAATGATCAGAATCACTATTACCGGTGTCAAGTTTCCGACTCATTACACTGAGTTTAAATCAAACTCAAAATTTTCAACCCGACGTGAAAGATTCATTGAGCATTCTCAATTGTGTAACTCGGAAAGACTCAAATTGTGGGAATTTGACTACCGTATTAGTAAATGACTCTCCTTTAAAAGAAAGAATCATCATTTTAGTTTTACTCTTTATCCAGTATGACATCTCAAACTACACGAGAATTGCAAATTTGGGCGCAACCAAATTAACTATACCATTGTACTTCCAAGTTCGAATTCGCGTCCCTATTAGTTTCCATTGCCAAAGGAAGACTTGAGCCCATTCAAAAAAAAAAAAAAGTAGACACATCCCACTTGCATACCAAATTATAAAGTATTAACATTTCAACATGGATTATATCCGAATTAAAAACAAGGATGAAAATGTTAATATGATTAAATAAATCAAATTCTTATTTAATCATAAAAATCCTACCAATTAACTGAACAAAAACAAAAAACAATGGCAATAACAGATGAGATGAATCAATCCAAAAAAGTGGGAGTGTCATCAATTAATTTGACGTTGATGATCAACCTGAAGCCGGATCAATGTAACGCGATCCCGTCATCATCATGACCTTAAACTCCTCGAAACTGATCATACCATCGCCGTCACTGTCGACGCCGCCGATCATCTGCCGGCACTCGTCGATCGAACATTCATCTCCCAAGCTCCGGAGCACTTCGTACAATTCCTCCGCCGAAATAGACCCGTTCCCGTCAATGTCGTAGACGGAGAAAGCGTCTTTGAGATTTTCGAGGGCCTCGGCGGAGTCGACCCCTTTGGTGTTGAGCTCAACGAACTCTTTGAAGTTGATGAAGCCGTCGCCGTCGGAATCGACCTCGGAGATCATGCTGTTGAGCTCCTCGTCGGAGGACGGCTGCCCCAGGCTGCTCATGATGGCTCCGAGCTCGGAAGACGAGATCTTTCCGTCGCCATTGACATCGAATTTCTTGAAGACTTGGTCGAGCTCGGCAATCTGGGCGCGCGAATGGAAGGAGGGGGTTCGCGAGTGGGCTGAAGCGGCGGCGGGGTGGGCAGCGGAGGCGGCGGGGTGGGTAGCGGCGACGTCGGGGTGGGCAGCGGCGACGTCGGGACTGGATTTCTTCTTCCGGGAGAAGAGGGATTTGAAACCCATCTGGATTGGAAAAACAACCGGAAACCGAAACCAATGGAAGGAACAAAATTCGAAATTCAGATTTGGGGTTGGCTGAATTCGAAAATTGGGGAATTGGGAATTGATTTTTGTTTTTGGGGATTTTATATGAAATTGGAGTGAGAAAATGTGTGAGGAGAGAGAAAGAGGAGAGAGAGAGAGTTTGGTTAGGGAGATGGTGGGGGAAACATAACGGAATCCAACTGAATCTCTCTCTCTGTCACGCCTCTTTGTTTTCTGTTGAGTTTTACTCTGATGAATCCTTGCTAATTTTGGAAGAGAGAGAGACGGGGAGGGAGAGGAGAGAGAGAGAGAGAGAGAGAGAGAGAGAGAGAAGGATTAGCCGTGAATTGAAATTACAGTAGTTACAGTGCACACCAACTCAATGACTCGGTGCACGCAACGGTATCCACACGGCACCCACTCAACCATCATCTCCAACCGAATGAGCGGCAGATAGTTCGTTTAGCCTTCTGGTTCTCTAATAAATTAATATTTTAATAAATAATGCATGATCATATTTTTTACCATCTTCAACCGAATGGTCAGAAAGTCATAGCCTCAACATAGTCTTGTGATAAAAAATCATCTCCAATAAAGGGTCAAAGGGTTATAGTATGAAATGTGAAGAATTGAAATAAAATGAAGTAAGATAGTATAAAATGATGAAAAATATGTGAAAAATTATGTAGGAAAAAATTAAAAATAAAAAAAAAAACGTCAAAAAAAAAAAAAAAAGCTGGGCATATAAAAAATAAAAAATAAAAAATTAGGCTGGGACAAAAAAAAATCCTAAACCCTAAAGTGGGCTAAGCATAAGGAATGCAATTTAAACCTTGAGCAAACTTAAAGAAAAAAAGGTTGAAAATGCTGGTGCGTCAGTGAATGCCCACAGTGATATTGAAAACCTTGGTAGATTTTTCAATGCCTATACATATTGGATTTTCAACATTGGAAGATTAATGAAAACATTGGCAGTGTTGAGATGTGTACTTTGGAAATAAAGGAGATCATTTTTCAAAAGATGTATTGTAAATTTCAAACTGTAATAAGATGGAGTTGCTCTATAAATAGAGCGCTCCGACTGCTGTTAAAGGACAAAAAGATATACAGAGAAAAAGGAAAGATTAATAACTTTAGTATCTATCCCTCCCTATTTTATTTGTTATCCTCTTATGCTATAATTTCAGTGTGATATTTTACAGTTACTTCGCTCCCGTCATTAGTAAAAGTTATCTTTCTAACTTTTACATATTTATAACATAAACCATACGTAAAATAATTAACTTTTTGTATATGTGTTGTTAATGGTTCGGGCTAGGCCATTCGGGCCTAGCACTATTATCTACCGGTTTGAGGCAAGTTTGGATTTTAAGTCTCGGCCCAAATAACACCTATAACTCAATTGAAACGGGCCTAAACTGCGTGTCAACTGGCCCAGAATATAGCCCGGTCAGCCCGCTTTAGCATTGTGCATGATTGCGTGATAAAATAGTAAAAGAGGCACGTAATTGCGTGTGGACAGGGTAGAATCAAATTATGACAATTGTTTACATTTCTTAATTACAAATAATTATCTTAATAAAGCACTAGCATAATGCGTCACACTTTGTGTGTGAATATAATTTTTATTTTTGTTTTAAAATAGAAAGGAAAAAGGGAGAAAAAGAAGAGCATGGAATTAGAGAGAGAAGTTTTTATTTTTTATTTTAAATTGGAGGATGTTAAGATCGACTTTGGGTAAGTTTTTGAAAAAATTGTAAAATTTATTTTATTGTTCCTAATTTTATTCTGTAGTAGAGGATTGAATTGTATTTTTATGTTCTTTTGGTTAATGAAGAGTGTTTTATTAGTTTTATTAATATGTAATTTAAATAATTAAAATATATTAAGTCTGATGTGATACCAACGGCAATGCACTGCACTCCTAAATGAGTTGACTTGAAATCTTAAGCTCCCTACCATTCAACCCTCTCTCTCCCTCCGCACTTTGATTTTTTTTTTGGAACAGAAACACGGTAAAACAAATGAGTGGAAACTTAAAAAAACAAACAAAACTAATTATATTATAACACTTAATATATCAATCTGTGTACTTGACATGCTAAAAAAATTCCTCCCACACCTCCACATGATGTCCTCCCAAAAGGGACCCCACTTTACAGTCTAGTTTGATGGTGGAAGTAGAGGCGGTGAGGTGGGGTTTGTTGGCTTGTATGGAGAGAGGTTATGGAAGGATTCAGATTGAAACTGACTCGAAGATGCTTGTGGAGATGTTAACTGGCCTTATACCGCCGGAGGCTAGCATTGAAGGAATATTATGGGACATTGAGTATAGTAAAAACCAATTGGGTTATGTGGAATTTCTTTATACTCCTCGGGCCTGTAATGAGGCTGTGCATTTGGTGGCAAAGTTTGTCACGCGTATGGGGGGTTTTTACTCGTGAAATTGCTTGGAGCCTGATTGGTTATTTAATACTCTGACTATTGATGTAAACATTTCTGGTCGTATCTAATAATATTATCCTTTGACAAAAAATATATATATATATATATATAGGAATTGCTTAAGGGGAGGGATCCCCATTTTTTCAAAAAAATGGGGACACGCTCGCCACCGTTGGATTTGACTTAAATGAAATCATGTGGTTGAGATTCTATGGCCTGTGTTTTAATCTCAACCACACAATTTCATTAAAGTCAATCTAACGGTGGGGAGCGTGTTCCCATTTTTTCAAAAAAAATGGGGATCCCTCCCCTTAAGCTTCCTATATATATATATATATATATATATATATATATATATATATAAAGCATTAATCAATCAGCACTAGTTTAATCCAAGATAAAAAAAAAAAAGTCAATCATTACTGCCCCAACGAGGCAGTATCTGAATTTCAAGACAATCATCATCACCCATTATCTCTCAGTACTCGTTTACACAGAGTAACACCTGGTCGGCTCATCCTCCTCCGCCCTCCATTGATGAAGCCCAACAGAGACTTATCCAAAGACTGAATCTTTTCAATCACGATGGACTCAAAGTCCGTGCGTTTCCTCACCCACCAATCCTTCTTCTCCGCCGTTCGATCCGGCGACCTTGCGGCGGTGACTCAGGTGGTGGAGAAGCTCGCCAAGGACGACCCCTCCTCAAAAGGGTCGCTGGTCTCTGATCTGATGGCGATGCAGAACGACGCTGGCGAGACTGCGCTGTACGTGGCCGCGGACAATAATCTGGAAGAGGTGTTTGGTTACTTGCTTAAGGTCTGTGGTGTCGAGATTGTCAAGATCAGGTCCAAGCATGATATGAACGCCTTTCATGTCGCCGCCAAGCGTGGCTACTTGGGTAAATTGATTTTTAACTCTCACTGTTCGTATAACTTTGTTCTGGGATTGAAAGAATTGGTTTCTTGAAATGGGTTTTTGTTGAGATTATGAGTTTTTTAATTGGGGTTGATCCTTGTATGTGCTGGATGATCATAATAATTACTGATTGTTTGTGTACAAGTTCAGTAATTAGTGATAATTTCCTTCCTAAATTAAATTATTTGATGGATTAATTGGAGTCTCTGTGCTGCGCTGCAAGCTGAATTCTTGCTCTGCGTTATGACATCAATACTTTCCGGTTATATGAATGGATTGAGAATTCTCATGTAAGCGAAATTCGTAATCGTTGAACTCTTGTTAGTAAAATGATATAACTGGTGAACTTCGTTTGCTAGGGTTGTAAACTCTTCTCTTGATCTGCTTTACATTTACTGGATATGCAGAGATTTAATATATGAGAAGTTTATGACATTTTGGCCATTTGAGGTTGAGTTTGGTATTTGAAGTTTAAAACTATGGTGAAAGGATTTTTATTTTTTGTTTTTTAATTCGGTAATATGTTATTGACTGTTATTTATTCAGGTATTGTGAAGGCACTATTGGGAAGTTGGCCGGAGCTTTGTAAGCTGTGTGATTCTTCAAACACTAGCCCTCTTTATTCAGCTGCCGTTCAGGACCATTTAGATGTGGTCAACGCCATCTTGGATGCCGACATCAGCTCAGTGAGGATAGTAAGGAAAAATGGTAAAACTGCATTACATACAGCTGGAAGGTATGGCTTGCTCGATATTGCGAAAGCACTTATAGAACGAGATCCAGGAATGGTATGCATAAAGGATAAAAAGGGTCAAACTGCACTCCATATGGCTGTAAAAGGTCAGTGTACTCCAGTTGTAGAGGAGATATTGGACGCTGACAATTCTATACTGAATGAACGTGACAAGAAGGGAAATACAGCTGTGCACATAGCCACAAGGAAATGCCGTCCACAGGTATCTTCATATTGACATTCTATTTATGAAAAATGCATGAACTCATCAAGTCCTAGTCATTATGTTGAAATTGTATGTAGGATGAAAATATATCAGCTCGTAAAATCCTTGTCATTAACTATTTCTTCCTTCCGTTGGATTTATCTATTACTTTGCTTTATTTACCAGGTAACTGTAAGTCTAAATTGGGTTTAGGAGCTAGTTCTTTGTCATGGAGTTTCATCAGTACAGTACAGTACAGATTGTCAAGGAGTCTGTGCTTGAGTTGTGCGTGCTACAGCCAAGACGGATAATATCCATGCCTTTTTGGACGTGTAGGTTATATCTACATGTGGACTATAGAGAAGATGTGAGATGACAGAGAGTTAAGATGGATAATGGGTAATTATGTGAGAATATACCAATTAAAAATAAAATATTGGGATCCTGTTTGCTTCATTGAAACTTTTGTGATAAGTTCGTGTTTTCTTCTTCGATGAGTAACCGGGAAGCACTTGGTGGAATTTCTAAATATAGTATTACATCCTCAAAAGTGGTGAATCCAATTGCATATGTTTGTCTTTCTACGTGTATATTCATCTTTTTTTGCTCCACCTGTGATGATATTTTGTCCTCTTTCTTGCAGATAGTGAGCGTCTTGCTGAGCTATACGGCTATTGATGTCAACGTCATTAATAATCATTGCGAAACTGCAAGGGATTTGGCAGATAAACTACAGTATGGAGAATCTAAATTAGAAATTACAGAAACACTGGCGGAAGCTGGTGCCAAGTATGCAAAACATGTCGGCCAAGTGGATGAAGCAATGGAGCTGAAAAGAACTGTGAGCGATATCAAGCATGAGGTGCACTCACAGCTCATACAAAATGAAACAACCCGACGGCGAGTTTCTGGCATCGCCAAAGAACTAAAGAAGCTTCATAGGGAAGCTGTCCAGAACACTACCAATTCTATCACAGTGGTTGCTGTTCTGTTTGCATCAATAGCTTTCTTGGCCATTTTCAACTTCCCCGGCCAATATGTACAGTCTGGACCGGAAGCAGGGAAGGCTAAAATAGCCGATGAAGTTGGTTTCAAAGTGTTCTATCTATTGAATGCCACCTCTCTCTTCATCTCACTAGCCGTTGTTGTGGTTCAGATCACCTTGGTGGCCTGGGACACGGGGGCTCAGAAGCAAGTCGTGTCGGTGGTTAACAAACTAATGTGGGCTGCCTGTGCTTGCACCTGTGGGGCGTTTCTGTCGATAGCTTATGTTGTGGTCGGAGAGGGGAGTTCATGGATGGCCATCACCATAACCGTTGTGGGAGTGCCAATTCTTATTGCAACTCTTGCAAGCATGTCCTACTTTGTTTTCCGACAACACTTTGGGGCATTCCGGCGGGACTCTCAGAGACGCATCAAACGGGCCAGTGGAAGCAAGTCCTTCTCCTGGTCGGTCTACTCGGCAAATATCTCAGATCCTGACGATGAATATAACTCCGACCTTGAGAAAATCTACGCTTTGTAAGCACGAATACGCCATATAGGGAGTTGTTTACTTGTTTGTCTGTTGAAGTAACAGTTATTGTTCATATTTGAAGAGGTGCTGCTGTAATCGACAGTTGATTGTAGGCTATGTATATTGTATGTTGTATTTGTAACTACAGATTCTATAGCCCTTACCCGAAATATTATCTCAAATCCTTGGAGAGGATCCTCCTGACCAGGTTCATCGGACTGTCCAATTTTTTTTTCAACGGCTACAAACAAAGGGTCCCTCTAAAAATTATAATAATTATAACCGTTGGATAGAAATTGAACGGCTCGATGGGCCTAGTCAGGAGGATCCTCTCCATCTGCTCAGGAGAGGATCCTGATCCATCGAATTTCTCTAAATTGTCACCATATTATAATCATCCATCTTTTCAAATTTTCGGTGTGCGGGAATACATTGGTACACTAAGTGTCATAATACAAGTGGTTGGATAAAAAATTTCTAACCACATATATAATGACATTTGGTGTACTAAATCTTATTTTTGGCACACCTAAAAATTTTCTCCTAATGAATCTGTCCTTAAAAATACAAATTTTGAGAAACATTCACACTTTCCCAATTGCTTAACGCAATAAAAAATTATCATCTCATATTTTACCTTCAAAACCCTTTTAGGAAGATAACTGCTGCTCTCTCCGCTTTGTGTCTCTTGTTAGAGTATGTGTGTGATTCCTACAGCCTAGTGCTAATCTCCAAGGTCATTTCCAACCGAAAGAGGGTCAAAGGGTTCCCTTTAGCTCTATATTCTTGCAATAAATTATATTTTAATGAACAGTGCTAGGTCATATTTTATACCATCTCCAATTGAAGGGATCAAAGGGCCATATGCCAAACATAGTCATTTAACAAAAAACTATCTCCAACCGAGAGGGTCAAAGGGTCATATGCCTTATTATTTTAATTAAATTAATATAGTTAATTAAATTAAACTATTATATTAAAATAAGGTTTTCGGATATATTTTGAGTGTCACTTGTCGCCAAATGAATAAGCCTTCGGATTTCTTATCTTTATGTAATCTCTATAAGTTTTTGGATAGAATTTCGAGTGACACGTGTCACTAACGTGAGTAACTCTCCAGATTTCTTATCTTTATGTAATCTCTATAATTTTTCGGATAAAATTTCGAATGACACATGTTACTAAAGTGAGTAACTCTCCAGATTTCTTATCTTTATGTAATCTTAATAATTTTTTGGATAGGATTTCGAGTGCCACGTGTCGAGATGTAATTGGTTGTGCAGATTTTAGATAGGATTCTTATCTACATGACATTTCTTATCTTTAGCTTTCAATGTTGTATGAATGGTGTAGGTGTTTATAGGGAAAAAAAATAGAATTTTTTTTTTTTAAATTCATCCCAAAAAAAAAATTCAAATTTCAACTGTAACCTAACGGCAGCATGACGTTAGCTAGCTGACATCATGCTGACACCAAGTAGCCGTTGACATTCAAATAGGCTGAGCAGGAGGGCTGGCAAAATGTCAAGCTTGACATTTTGGCACTAGAGGGTTGGGCTAGAGCTGGCTGGCTGGCTGGAAATGGTCAACTCGTTGGCCTGATTTGAGGGTTTGGGCACAGTGGGGCCCACAAGCCCTTTGGCCTAGTTCTCGGTTGGAGACGGTTTTCATGTCATTCTTTGCTATTTTTGGTCCTATTGTCATTTGGTCGGGTCGGTTAGAGATGGCCTAAGTGTTTGAAATTGGTATGAAGAAGTCCGTATACAATTGTTGGAGTTCCAATTATTTTGGGACTTTTTTTTTTTTTGGAGAACCTCGGCGGTACAAGGGAATTTTATTGATAGGAAAATGGGGGACATAAACCTAACCCCTCATAGAACAAGAGAAAAGAAATACAAAAGAAAAAGGGGGGGACATGCACCTTACCCCTTTTGAGAAAGGAAATGCCGGAAAAAGAGGGGGGGACATAGACCGTACCCCTCTTGGAAAAGAAAAAACAAGGAAAAGACTAGGCGGACATAAGCCCAAACCCCTTTATAAACCTTAAAAGGTAATAACCTGCAAGACAAACTGCAAAACAAAAGGGAATCCAAAAAGGTTAGGAAAAGAAAGGAGAAGACACATCAAGAAGAGGAGACAAACCTGTAGGTTGGCATGCCCAAGAAATCTGAGTGCAAAGGAGGGAGGATCTCAATCGGAGGAGTGGAATGCCAGACAAGTGAAGATGATAGAAGCCCTAAATTGGCTAATTTGTCAGCAACATCATTCCCTTATCGAAAAATATGAGAGCAACGAAAAACCATGTTCTGCAAATGGAGAGTACAATTGTTCCAGCGTGTCTGGAGCGACCAAGGGGGAGAGAAAGATCCAGAAGCAAAACATGATATTACACTCGAAGAGTTGCTTTCAAGCCATAAATTTTGCCAGCCCCGCGCGTGGGCCAATTCGACAGCAAGGATGACAGCATGGAGCTCCGCATAGAAAGAAGTACGATGGCCCAAGCTTAGGGAGAAACCACCAAGAAAATAACCCGCAGAATCTCGAAAAACCCCGCCACATGCCGCAGGACCCGGATTACCCTTAGCAAGGTCATCAGTATTCACTTTGACCCAAGAAAAAAGAGGGGGTGCCAAAGAACAGGGACAATAGAAGGAGCTTTACAGGAGTTAGGCGATATTCCAAGAGAGACTAAAAGTTGCCTGTCCAAAATGCCTCGTACATGGCCAGGGGTGAGAGCTCCAACCTGCCTAATCCAGGCCGAGGTGGAGCGGCAGAGACGTGAGAAGGAGGGAGGTTTGCCTTCAAACTTCACTTTATTACGCATCTTCCAAATAGCCATGAGTAAGAAAAACCCTGAAGCTAGCCAGACATTGCGAAGATGTGGAGAAAACCGCTTTGACAGAAAATCAAGCCATAGATCAGAGAGGGAGCCGTAGGTGGAATAATAGTGCCAAATTGGGTAGCTAGCCAACGCCAAGCACATTGTGCAAAGTCACAGCTAGAAAATAAGTGGTCAATAGATTCAGAATTCTTGTGACATAGTTGGCATATTGGAGCCAGCGGGATGCCTCGGCGCTGAAGTTGATCCTCCGTTGGGAGCTTGTTGAATAGAATCTTCCAAACTAAAATAGAGTAACGAGGTGGGATGAAAGGACGCCAGATAATGGAAGCCCAACTCTTGACAGGAAACCGATGACGAACAATTTCATAGCCATCGGAAAACGAAAAAACACCAGATGTAGAAACTTCCCAAATTAAAACGTCCTTATCCTCATCAATTGGAAGAGGCATTTCTAAAATCTCTTTAGTTAGGTCTGGGAAAGTAGAAGAAAAAATAGAAGGAATAACCCATTGTCCCATACGAATAATATTTGAGACCTTAGTACGAGATAAAGAAGGGGCAATCTCTGTTGCACCAACGACGTCCACAATAGGCTTATCCAGCCATTTATCAACCCAAAGGGAAGTAGTAGAACCATTTCCAATCACCCAACGACAATTTTGAAACAAGATATGAAGAATGGATTTAATACCAGGCCATATAGAAGATCGCTTATAACTACAAGAGTATAGGCGACCATGTAGCTTGAAACGTTTCCGAAGATAAATACTCCAAGGGGAATCAGTAGTAATAATAAGCCATCCAAGCTTTAAGAGAGCTGTAGTGTTAAGATAGCCAAGATCACGCAAACCCAAACCACCTTCATTCTTCGGAGCACATATCTGATGCCAAGAAACGGTAACCAACTTCTTGGAGGTTACGACACCAGACCATATAAAATTGCGAGCACATCGTGAAAGAGACCTTAGCAAGGAAGAAGGCCACTTATAAACAGAAAAGCTATGCAAGAGCATACTTTGAAAAACTGATTGAGTGAGTTGAACTCTTCCTGCCATAGATAAAAGTTTCCCCTTCCAACCAGTTAACTTAGCTTTAGCTTTATCTGCCAAGGCTTGAAGATGACTCCTTTTAGGCTTGCCACAGAAGATTGGAACTCCTAAGTAGACAAAAGGTGTTTTGCCTTCTTTGAAACCCAAGTAACTCTCAACCACAGCTTTGCGATGCCTTGAGGTAGAGCCCAAGTAGAAAGTACTTTTTGCCTTATTGATAAATTGACCAGAGGCTCTACTATATCTATCGAAGAAACCTTGCAAATTACGCAGAGTGCCACCATCACTTCTACAGAAAATGAATAAGTCATCTGCATAGAGAACGTGAGAAGGAGAGATACAACCTCGTGGAGCAAAAGTTGGCTTAGTAAGCCCATCAAGTTGAAGACGACTCAGGCCCCTTGATAAAGCCTCCTCAGCAAGACAGAAAAGTAACGGAGAGAGAGGATCCCCTTGGCGCATTCCTCAGGAACAAGAGAAAAAACCATGCGGGGAACCATTGATTAGGATGGACAATTTAGCAGATCTTAAGATGGTAGAAACCCAGTCTATAAAACAAGTGGAGAACCCAAATTTAGTAAGCACCCGCAATAGAAATGACCAATCTAAAGTATCAAAAGCCTTAGTTATATCAACTTTGACTCCCATATTGCCACCACGAGTTTTTTTGTCAAGCACATTGAAACATTCTGAAACTAGGCCAATACAATCTGTGATACATCGGCCAGGTATGAAAGCAGCTTAATGTGGAGAAATAATGCGTTGAACAACATGAGAAAGGCGAACTGCCAAAATTTTGGGAATAATCTTAAAGAGAAAGTTTGCCAAAGCAATAGGTCTAAAATGAGTCATGGAAATAGCGTCTTCCACCTTCGGTATCAAAACTAAGAAGTTACTATTGGTATTGGGGTATAGCCAATTTGATTGAAAGAATTGCTTCACAAATTGAATAACATCAAAGCTGACAATAACCCAACAGTGATGATAGAAAAAACCTGGAAAACCATCTGGCTCTGGCGCACTGGAAGCACTTAATGAGAAAACTGCCTCCTTAATTTCCTCATCAGTAGGTAATGCAGATAAGAGATCATTTTCAGAGTCTGTGACCATCGGCTGGATGACCTCACAAACCTCATCAATACCTGAAGGGGTGAAAGAAGAGCCGAACAAAGTCTGATAGAAATTAACAATATGGTTCGCAATAGCCAGCGGGTCAGTAAGAAGATTGTTTCCATCAAGAATACAACTGATATGAGAGCTGGATGATTTAATACGAGCATAGGCATGAAAGAAAGAAGAATTTTTATCCCCTTTAGTTAAC